ACAAAGCTAAGATCTGCAAGAGAGCAAGTTGCTTTTTAAGAAAGCCCAAAATGTGAGAAAGTGTGAACATCTAGAAGCGTATGTAGATCAAAACCCAATTTGCCTATTTTAATTTTTTAGTGTTGTCTCATCTACTTTTTGAATAATTTGCTGAGTAAGAAGGAGTAAGCGATTCAAGCTTTGCCTTTTGTTAAGTTATTTTAGGTACACAGATTTTTTTCTCTAAATGGAGGTGGTGAAATACAAATATATATAAGTGCAAATTCATGTGTCTGACCTTTACCTTTACTTTTCTGATGTAAGATGTGCAATACAAGTGAACTCACATGGTGCCACAATTCCCTGTGCCAAGCTGCCAGCTAACCAGCTGTGCCTGAAGCAAGGGAGAAGCTCAAGAGTTGTCAAACTTTGTGCCCAGGATTAAACAATAGTAATGAAAATTAAAATAAATAGTAAATTTTAAAAATATCAACAACAATAGTAATAATAATAATAATCATCATCATCATCATCAATCATCTAGGTCTCACTCTGGAGAGAAACTCACATGACATGTAAAAGTCAAAAGATTATCTGCCTGTTGACAAAGCTAAATGAGAACACCAGGTATCTCCAGGTGTCTGATAAACAAGAACACTTCAAACTTTTTGTCAAATTTAACTTTCCATAGTTTCAAGATGCATCTGAAGGAGACTATCCTTAGAATTCAAGGCATGGCAATAACAAAATGAAACTGTCTTTGACACATTGAGCTATTTTAAATCTTTCTTGCTTTGCAAGGAACCAAATATGTCAGTCCTTTCATTGAACACCTTCCTGAGTTTCTTAAATAGTCCTTATTTCCTTAGCAATTGTTACTTGTTTTTTTTTCTTTTTTCTTTTTTAATTTTAGTTAATTGTGCTAACAAATATTTCCAATATACATTTTGTCAGTTGTTTTCTTTTTTTCCTTTAGAAGTATTAGAAAAATGAAAGAGGGCCTTCCATATCTTACATAGCTGGAATACCTCCCCAGATTTTAGGAAGTGTAATGGTTTAATTGGTCACGGAATACTTTACAAAGACACTTAAGGGATCAGATAAACATGCTTCACCTCCTTGAGAAGAAAGCAAGCCTAGCAATCCCTTTTGATAGATTAGTAGTGGGGGGAAAAAGCAGAACCAAGGTAAAGTCCTGATTCTGGCTAGTCAATAAGTGAGGTCATTTTAATCAATGAAATTATTTAAATGTATATATGGTCTGAGATTACATCTTTTCCAAAGGAAAGATGATATTGTCTGTTAATTTGTATGTCATAATCTCTCCATGTTTGTTTTATTTAAAAGTATCAGTTTAGATTGAATTAACATCTGCAGTAGTTCTCAAGAGAGAAAAAAGAAATTATATATTAAAGCTGTTTCTCATCATTCTAGTCCTGGCAAAAAAATATGTAAAGTAAGTGTCTTATTGCTTTGCCTTGAAGGAAAAAAAACAACAAACCATTGGAGTGTCTCTTCTTTTTTTTTTTTTTTCAGTTTTAAAATCATTAACAAATCATTACATACTAGCATGGAATTATACCTTAGAAAAGACACATACTAAAACAATTTTTTCTAAAATTATTTCTGGCTCTTTCGTAGAATTAGAACAGACACAGACATACACAGGAGTTTGGATAATGTGTTTAATATTATAATAATTTGGAAAAAATATATTTATAAATTAGAATTATTAGAGATGGAACTAGAGAGCTGTTTATGGGAATATTGGCACTGTAAGTGGAATAGGAGATTGGGAGGCTACCAGAGGGAATCTTGAAGGTAATGAAAAGAAACAAGTTTAATAGTGAAAGAGAATCAATCAATGGGAACATTTTACTGTTGAGGTTACCAGATAAATTTATAATAATCAAAACAAAATTAGGGATCAAAACAAAATCAGTGGTCAGAACAAAGTGCTCAAAATAGAACCAAATGTGGACCCTCCAGTCAGATAACAATTGTTAAGAAGGGGAAGAGTGGAGACAGCTTGGGATGAAAGCTAAACAGTTGTATTTTCGATGCTAGAAGAGATGCAAACTGGTAGCCAAACTTCTCAAAACAATCAGGAAAAAATAAGTAAAATTTGGTAATAGAAAGTGTTCATAGGAAGTTACAGAAACTTCTTAATAAAATTACAGTCTCTGAAGAAGCTAACAGTGTTTAATTTTGCTTGTCCCCATTGCACAAGGCATGCATTTCAACTGGTAGCTGTATTGTTTGGGGTTTTTTTGCTATTACTCCGATTCAAAATGAACTAAACTAAAACCTCATAATTGCTTACCCAAAAAATAAATAACAATAAAAAAATACCTTCATTATGCACATCAGCTCTGTCTTTCATGGGTTAAAGACTTACTTTACAAAGTCTAATGCCTGTTTAAAAAAAAAAAAAAAAAAAGAAAAAGAACTTACTTGAAGGCTATACTGCAGGAGATAATGCTCTTCTTTAAATAAGTAAGGTTTGTAATTATGGTATTCATTTCAGTTTCCACATCAGTCCTTCTAGGCCTTTTTCTGTAGAATAGTTGTGTTCTGGAACACCAGTTTAGCTGGAACATTTTTGTTCTGTTCCCATCCAATGCTAGGAATATGAGGCACACAGTAGTTCCATGTGACAAATGTGTCATGGTAATGGAATAATAAATCTGTGCCCCTGGTGTCAAGTATAATAAATATTTTCATTTGATCCTCATAATGATATCCCATATGATTTCCAGCATAAAAGACATCTTTCAACATATGTCATCACACTACTATATGTGAATAAAACTTACAGGAAATAGTGGTTGTCATTGAATTGCTCACCATTGCTTTCAAGAAAAAAATTCTGAAGTGAGCTTTGTAGGTTAATATGGCTGTGTGTATTTCTTGCCTACATAACTTTTCAGTGTCTTTTTTTAGAGCAAGTACCTACGGGTATGAGTAGGAGTGATCTATCTGTGTGGGTTTTCATTTTTATGCAGCTTTCGTTAACTGAATACAAACGAGTGTTTACAGAAAACTTTCAAGATGTTTCAGATAGTTTCTTAAGAGTATACCTGGTCTCTGAAATACAAAAATGTATCAAACTGAAAAAAAAAAAAAAAAAAATTACAGGTTTCAGAATATAAAGATGATTTTGTTGAAGACTATACTTGTGCTAAAATTCTTGGCTTCAGTATAATCATGAAAAGCAGCATGGGTTATGATAAAGTGCCTTCATGTCTTAACGCTAATTGGGCCCACTCAAGAATACATTTGGAGAACAAAAATAACTTTCATACCTAAGAAATATTAAAAATTAGAAGGATGAAATGGATCCAATGTTGTGTCCAGGTGGAACTTCCTATGCTGCAGTATATGCCCGTTGCCTCTCGTCCTATTGTTGGGTGCCAATGAGAAGAGTCTGGCCCTGTCCTCTAGACGCTATCCCTTTAGATATTTATGAACATTAATCAGATCCCCTCTGAGTCATCTTTTCTCCAGGCTGAACAGTCCCAGCTCCCTCAGCCTTTTCTCATATAAAAGATGCTCCAGCCCTTTAATCATCTCAGTCGCCCTTAGCTGGACATGCTCCAGGAGTTCCATGTCCTTCCTGTGCTGGGGAGCCCAGAACTGGACACAATACTCCAGGTGGGACCTCACCAGGTCTGAGTAGAGAGGGAGGAGAACCTCTCTTAACCTGCTGGCAACACTCTTCCTAATACAACCCAGGATACCATTAGCACCGTTTAATTGCAATAGAGAATTCCTACCTTCCCTGTTGCTTTCTTACTTGCTTATCAGGTGGTATCTCAGCTTGGTGTCTGACTGAGCCTGTACCTTCTGAGGAGAGTTGTAGAAGGTATCTAGATTCTTCTGGAAATTATTTTAGGATTCACTGAATGTGATGCTGTGTGCTAGAATGATGCTGTGGAAGAGCTGGCATAGAATGCAATCTTGACTTGCTGGACAAGAGTATGCATGTCCACCTAAGCAAACCCAGAAGGTATACCAGGTATATCACTGAAACATGTACCCAGACTCTTCTCAGATGTATATTATTACCAGCATTGATTTTAAGCTTATTTAGCAGAGCTGACTTGACAAACAGAAGGGCTGGGTAAGTTACACCCTTTTAATAGGGATAGCAGTGACCACATACTTTCTAGACATACTGACTCCCGAGCTGTCCCTTGGGCTGCTCCGTTGTGCGTCATCTCTAGAGTAGGTCAGTGGCTGTAAAGCACAGAGTGTTCTCCAGGGAGTTCACAGAAAACCCTGAGCTCTCACACTGTTGAGAGCTCTCTTTAGCTATCATCTTCTCCATATCCTTCAAGTCATCGTCTTATATACGTAATTTGACTCTTTTTCGGGAATAAATCATCTTCCTGTCACATCTTCATAATTAATTATACCTTTAATAAATGGAAAGGGTAAGGAGAGACAGGACAATTTAAAAAAAAAAAAAAAAAGGAAGGAGTGAGCATTTGGCTTCAGTGTGCAAATGACATAATTTCCAACAATTTAAGAAGGAATAGTTATCCTGCCTTTAAGATTTGTTCATTTATTTTAAAAATATATTTCTCAAAATTTAATTTGTGGTTTCAGGAGCTAAGTATAGAAAATTACAAAATGCCCTTTTAGACTTTGGTGACTAAGAGTGATCCCATTAAATGAATATAGCATGCATGGAGTTATGTTAAAATATAACTTGTTCCATTGCAGCAGTTTAAATCTCTCCAGCGTTGGTTAGGCTAAAATATAACAAACGTACTTTTACAGTGCAAATGTTATATTGCTTATGGTGATATGATGAGGAGATGGGAACCGACAGAACCCAATGCATCCTATCAAGTTTGCTCTGGGAACAGAGCTAAAGAATTTGTGGTGTCTAAAGCATATCCTTCTTCAAAAACATTTCTTTTTTCGAATTTCATTCATGACCATTCAAAGCGTCTCTTATGTTTATCAACACCTTTTTTTTTTTTTTTTTTCCTTTTTTTTTTTTCTTCCATCAGGTGCTTCATTCCAAATGCCTACGCTGCTCTCTTCACCGCTGCTCTGGTGCCACTGATGTGTTTGGTAGTGGTTTTTGTGGTGTTCATCCACGCCTACCAGGTGACCCCACAATGGAAAGCGTACGATGATATTTTCAGAGGAAGGACAAATGCTGCAGGTACGATTTGTTGACTACCCCTACGCAAACAAGTTGGATTTTCAGAACAGTACTTACTGTTCTCACCAGTTCAGAAAACCCCACTAGAAACCACAGTTCAGTAGATACCTACGCACTTGTTTTAGATGATGCATGCTAGTGGTCCCTTTGAAGTCTCTGAAAGTACTTAAATGATGAAAGTTATGCAGATGCTTAACAGTCTTAGGAGGATAAAAATGTGTTAAACCTGAACCAAGAAATTAGTATCGCTGGTTATGTCTGGTCTAATAAAGAGAATAGCTTAGAGGGCTTAGAGGGAGGGCTGGGGCTGCTCAGGAGCCCACACTGTGCTCCTCTGCTTGGCCCCAGGTGATGGGCTCAGCTCCTGGACCTTGTCTTTTGCAATATATTTGTTGACTGCATAGTCCTGCACCAGCTGCATGTTGGAGTCTTTGGAGTTAATGCATCTGTTTTGAAATTTCCTACTGCTACTTGCAAGTGAAACGTGCTTGACAGAAAAGATCTGTCTCGTGCAAAACAGGAAGTATCGGTTGGTCTCCTCTGTCAGAACAATTTAAAATATAATGATGTTCCCAAAATAAACTTGCAGCAGTTTACACCAATATCATAATAAAAGGGCAATCTGTGGGAAGCTCAGATATTTCTTTTGTTTTCACGGTGTTTCTGGAAAAAAATCAGAGTTTTATAAACAAGTGTCAATATACAGATTTTTAATAAAAGTGTGTCTGTTTTCTCCCCGACTGCATGAAACCAGCTAGATTTTATAAACTTATGAAAGATTCTTGAATAATTTTTCCCAATTCATTAAATAAATACCATCCGAACTTAAAAGGGACGGTGGATTATTAAAAGATTCCATTGAGTCCAGCACTCGTAATTGTTCAGATTTATAAAAAGCAGCTGTCTTGTTCAAATGCTCAAATTTGCATTGATAATTGTATTATGAAATGAGGGGTTGTGGTGTTTTTGTTTTGTTGTTTGTTTGGGTTTTTTTTGTAAATTGGGTTATAGAAATATATTACTTTTATGAGAAAATGAACATAAATATTAAATATTTATTTTCTGGGCATTTCTTCCAATATCAATTTCTTTCTTAGTGACAAAATGACTGAGAGCTGTATGAATTTGGATAAGGTCTGATAAACACAGCTTATAAGTATGATACTTAAGACCTTAGTTGCACTTTTGTCTTTTATTTCTTTCTGATATAAAATGGACTGCCTGGAGCAATCACAAAGGTGGCTTCTTGTTCAGTCTTGAATAATACCATTTATTTATTTATAAATAACTTTTTTTTTTTTTGTATCTCTAAGGATGGAGATTCCATATTCATATGTTGAAGGTAAAGGCTTGTCTCAGAGCAGTTAAACCAAAGGAAAAAAAAATACTGACTATTGAAACAATGCCATAAATAAAGTCAGCATGCAAAATGGCAGAAAGTGCTAGTAGGATTTATATCTACATGACATAAAGACATGAAATAATAGGGTTGAAACAAAACTTTGATTTAACATAGGATTCAGGGTGTTTTCATTCTTCAATAGAGTCCAGAAAATGGTATAGAGAATGTTGGGTCTCAGAAGAAAAAAAAAATAAAAGAAATCAAGAAGAGAGGTGTTCAGTAAAATGTCAATAATAACTTTTTTTTTTTTTTAAATCAAGTCATAATTTTCACTACTTGTGCACCTGCACGGCAGGCTGGCTTTTTGCTACCACAGGGCTTTTGCAAGCACAAATGAAAGTACCTTGTGCAGCGTGGCTGAGAGTAAGTTGTTGAGAGGCTGATTTAGGGAAGAAAAAGAGCTGCCTGCTGAAGTTTACAGTGCCTGGGGTTGTGTGAGGGCTCTCTGGGTAGCTGTGTTTATAGTGTAAGCTTCCAGAAAGAAAGGCTGGTGATTTCTGTAGTTTGCAAGGTTGCCTATAAATACATAACGTGGTAGTAACTGTTCACTAAAGGCCTCTGACTTTCTGACTGAATATTTCTCTCCTGAAATTTGAGATGGTGGTAGTATATTTACATTATTTTTAACATTTTATGGGTATATTGTGCTTTTAAAGATATATTCAAAGGCAGTTTGAAGTGGTAAGACCTATGATCACTCTTAAATCTTGAATCTTACCATATGACCCACTCTGGAAAAGTTCACTCCACTGACTCCATGTTCTTACAAACTCAGTGGGACCTGCTCCTGCTTCAGTGCTGTTATCGCAACCACATCAGAGGATGCTGTGGGAAACAATATTTTTCATAACGGCAAATTAGTCTGCAATTGTGTCCAGTTATGGAGCCTTCAACACAAGAAGGACATGGACCTACTGGAGCAAGTCCAGAGGAGGCCACGAGGATGATGTGAGGGCTGGAGCAGCTCTGCTGTGAGGACAGGCTGAGAGAGTTGGGGCTGTTCAGCCTGGAGAAGAGAAGGATCTGGGGAGACCTTCTTCTAGTGGCCTCCCAGTACCTGAAGGGGCTCCAGGAAGGGTGGGGAGGGACTTTGGCCAAGGGCAGGGAGTGACAGAACAAGGGGTGATGGCTTTAAACTGGAAGAAGGGAGGTTTAGATGAGATATTAGGGAAAAATTCTTTAGTGTGAGGGTGGTGAGACACTGGCCCAGGTTGCCCAGAGAAGCTGTGGATGCTCCTCCCTGGAAGTGTTGAAGGCCAGGTTGGATGAGGCTTTGAGCAACCTGGTGGAAGGTGTCCCTGGTGATGGCAGGGGGGTTGGAACTGGATGATCTTTAAGGTCCCTTCCAACCCAGACCATTCTATGATGTTCAGTCACAATGAATGAATTCCTACAGCAAAAAAACCCCTTTCCCAGCTTCAGCCTGAGGTTCGGTACCCCACTTTGAACAATGAAGTATGTATGTATTTATTTATTTATTAAAAAAAAGATCACAGCTTTGGAAAACTGTCAGCTTTCCATTAGTTACCCTTTCTAGAAAGAGAATAAAATTCCAGGTGAATGACACTATAAACAATTCTGACATATCAAGTGTAGAGAGTTGTAAACATAGACAAAAATATTTTTAAATAAGCTTTTGCATTTACTAGTAATTGTGGACACCTGTTCATTTAAATTCTGGAGAGCAAAGAGTATTACAGAAAGGAAAAAGTGGCATATGTAAATATGTAATTATAATTTATACACAGATATTCATACAAACACCTATTTGCTTGTGAATGTTTGAACTAGGACTGTTTATTCCCTTTCTGGGAGTCATTCAGTTAGAAGATGATAGTTAAAATTGCAGTGTGATACAGATGACCCCATGTGCATTCTGCAATAATTCATGCAAAATATTACTGAGTGTTGCCAATAAAAATAAAATAGCAAGGTCACTGGCTTGCATATTACCATAAAATGGAAAAAGTTTGTGGATATGCAGATTTGAAAGAAAAAAATTATTATCTGGCTTCTAAGTTTGTATTCTTTTAGCCATTTCACAAACTGTAGGAAAAGCTTCTTAAACTATAACTGGTAATTCTGAAGTTCCATGTTTATGCTCTCTACTTGAGGAAGGCTATTGCTAACTTTAATAAAAATTTAATAGGAATAGAAACAGTAAAGTTTTTCCTCATTTGTAGTGGGGGTGTTGGTCAACAGCCAGCTGAACAAGTCAGCAGAGTGACCAGGTGGCCAAGAAGGCCAAGGGCATCCTGGCCTGGATCAGCACCAGCGTGGCCAGTACAACCAAGGAAGTTCTTTTCCCCCTGTACTGGGCACTGGTGAGGCTGCAGCTGGAGTGCGGGGGTCAGTTCTGGGCCCCTGACTCCAAGAAGGACATGGAGGTGCTGGAGCGTGTCCAGAGAAGGGAACGGAGCTGGGGAAGGGTCTGGAGCACAAGTGTGCTGAGTTCCCGGCTGAGGGAACTGGAGTTGTTGAGCCTGGAGAAAAGGAGGCTGAGGGGAGACCTTGTGTCTCTGTCCAAGTCCCTTGGAGGAGGGTGGAGAGAGGTGGGGGTGGGTCTGTTCAACCAAGGACCAAGTGACAGGACAAGAGGAAATGGCCTCAAGTTGTGGCCAGGGCAGTTGAGATGGGATGTGAGGAAGAATTTCTTTGCTGAAAGGGTTCTGAGGCATTGGAAGGGGTTGCCCAGGGCAGTGGTGGAGTCCCCATCCCTGGAGGGATTGAAGAGTCGTGTAGACATAGTGCTGAGGGACATGGGTTAGTCAGGGACTTCTCAGTGTTGGGTTTATGACTGGACTTGATCTTAAAGGTCTTTTCCAATACAGGCAATGCTGGAATTCTGTGTATACTGTTTTGGTTTTGGTTTTTTGTTTTTGTTTTTGTTTTTGTTATTTTTTCAAATAAATGGATTATGGAAGTGGCTAAGTAAAAAATTGGGTCAAAATTTTTCTTACTCTCTTTTCTCCTGTTGGAATAGTCTGGAGCTTACCTTGCAAAGAAGGTTAATCTTGAACTATCCAGAGTCACAGAATCATAGAATGGTTTGAGTTAGAAAAGACCTTTAAAGATCATCTAGTCCAACATGGCAGGGGTGTTGGACTAGATGATCTTTAAAGGACATCTTGCACTAGCTCATGTTGCTTATAGCCCTGTCCAACCTGACCTTGAATACTTCCAAAGATGGGACATCCACAGATTCTCTGGACAATCTGTTTCCATGTCTTACCACCCTAATTGTAAAAAATTTATTCCTTCTATACATTATAAATTTGCCCTCTTTTGGTTTAAAACCATTGCTTCTTGTCCTGTCACTACAGGCCCTTGTAAAAGTCCTTCTCCATCGTTTTAATAAGCCCTTTTTAAATATTTAAAGGCTGCACTAAGGTCTCCCTGGAGCCTTCTCTTCTCCAGGCTGAACGACCCCAACTCATAGGAGAGGTGCTCCAGCCCTCTGGTCATTTTTGTGGCCCTCCTCTGGACCTGCTCCAACAAGTCCATGTCTTTCTTGTGCTTGGGACCCCAGGGCAGGATCACCTCCCTTGACCTGCTTGCCACACTTCTTTTGATGCAGCGTGGGATAAAATCCCTAAGT